GTGGTCCAGAGCTCTGGGGACCCCGTGGTCCAGAGCTCCCAGAGCAGAACGGGCTGCATCACCGGCTCCGCCGCGCCCCTGGAGAGTAAGTACGCCTTCCCTCTGGAGCTCACTTGCTTGCTCGCTCGCGCGCTCGCTTGCTCGCTCGGGCGAGCGAGCGAGCTGGCGAACACGGGGGGTGGTCGAGCGAGCGAGCGAACAAGCGGTTGGCCTCTCGGTCGCCGGCTCCGCCGCGCCCCTAGAAGCCACCCATCCAGAGGATCTAACACCGTCAACGCCACGATACACCCAAGAAACGATGCCGACGTCAGCGATGTCACTGCGGAGTCCGCAAGTGCTCCTGCCGCGGGACTGTTCTCGCACCTTCCTCCCGGGTAAAACGATGACGCTGGCGCGGAAAAGGAGGGAGCGGAGGACGGAGGAAGAAACAAGACGAGGCTCGAAGTCCATTCCAGAGTGGAGGCTCGGCTTCCGAGATGGAGGCTTCAGGTCCTCTGGCCAGGTGGCGCCAGAGCGGATAGGGGGATGATCGCACCGCAGCGCTGATGCATCATCGCCGCTGCACCTACGACCGTCGGGATGGAGAAAATCCCGCTCCCAATCGCGCCGCATCGCCGATGCATCACCGCTGCACCTACGACCGTCGGGATGGATAAAATCCCGCTCCGGATCGCGCCGCATCGCCGATGCTTTGGCGATGCGGTGCATCGGCGATGCGTCGCGCCCTCCAGCCCGTCCGACCTCACCTACTCCTGCTCCGAAGCCTCGACTCAGGGAGGGACCCAGAGGACCCAAGACCTCCTGAAGGCTTTTTCCTCCCTTCTGAAGCTAATTTCCACCAAGCTTTAATTGATCCAGACGTAGGGAGTCGATCTCAGGCCGCGGGGGGGAATCGAGGGCCGACGTTTTCTGTTTCGCCTGTTTTTTTTGTTGCGGGGCGGAGGGGTCTCTGGGCGCTTACTCGTGGCCATGGGCCAGATCCGCCCAGAGAGTATGGCGCGAACGCACCCCGGGATGGGCCCCTCGACGAGGAGGGAGGGAGGGAGGGAGGGAGGGAAATGATGGAGGGAGGGAAAGAGAGAGGAGGGAGGGAGAGGATGGAGGCCGGGTAAATGGGGTACGGATAAAAGGGATCGGAGGGTCGCACAACATGTCCCTGGAGGCCTCTCCTCCTTCTCCTCCATGCTCTCCTCCTCCTCCTCCCCTCCTCCTCCTCCTCATCCTCATCCTCATCCTCCTCCTCCTCCTCCTCCTCCTCCTCCTCCTCCTCCTCCTCCTCCTCCCCCTCCCTCCCCTCCCCCCCCCCCTCCCCCTCCCCCTCCCCCTCCCCCCTCCTCCCCTCCTCCTCCTCCCCTCCTCCTCCTCCCCTCCTCCTCCTCCTCCTCCTCCTCCTCCTCCTCCTCCTCCTCCTCCTCTTCCACACCTTAGACTTTAGGCCGCGTGCCCCGTATTGTTAATATGCTCAAGCATTCGTTTTTTGATGCCTTCCTCCCGACCTGATTATTATCTTCCCTCCTGCCTCCTTCCACTAAATGCGAAGCAGGTCTGCATCAGTTCAGGCATACAAGAATTTCTTTTGACCCTTTAGCATGGTCGCTACCTCCAGGAGGTATTCCGTAACATAAGAATCCCACCAGCACTTTAGGGCGTGAGTGGATTAGGCAATTTCCTCTTCCATCTTCCCTCTTCCCTTTCGGGGAGGGATTTACCCTCCCCCGGGTCTGGACGGGGCTTTTGGCGAAGGCTTGGAACGTCTAAGCTGGCATCGACGGCATGTTGGAAGGGCAAATCACCTGGAGGTTTCATCGCGGCGGCGTCATCGGCAGCGAGGCATACGCGACCAACACCAAGCCAAACGCCACAGGAGCAGAGCGCAGCGGACGCTGCGTCTACTGCATCAGCTTCGAGCGGTCTCGCAGGTGATGGCTGGGCCGCGCCACCAACGCCAGCATCGGCTGCGCCATCGACTCCCGTAACGGCGACAAGCTCGACATCTGCGACATCGAATAGTAATGTGCCCTGGAATGGCTCTACTCCGACAGTGCGACCAGAAAACATCAACGAGTGCGCCATCAACGGCCCCAATCTACGTGTTGGCCACAACCCGCACAGCGTGCATGTGACCTGCCGTACGTGTCAGAAGCATTGTGCCTGGCTCAAAAGGCACGGACGGACCGATGTCTCAGACCTGCACTACACCCTGACGCCGTGAACCGATGGAGGATCATAAATGGCCAGCCCAGCGCTGGCGTTGCTGCGAAGCCAAGCTTGTCAGACAAGCCGAGCCGCAAGCGCAAGTGAGTGAAACATACTCGCCTGGAGTTGACATGTGCAACAGATTTACGTTAGTCCGCAAGCGAGTGATCCTACACCCAGCTAAAGATTTACACGTAGCCCCGCCTAGGCAACTACAGTGCTGCTGACCGCCAGCTGCAGCCATCGTTTTTGTTTGTATGCGCTCTTTCCTATTCAGAGGTGATGACGATCACCCGCCATCTTTGTGTATTGACAGCTGCGAAGCTCTGCTGAGCTTATCGCGAGTTTGAGCCCGCTAGCTCATCGTGATAATTTATTCGACTACAGGTCTGTGCACAGAAAGCCCGAGGCTTCCAAATTGCATGCCGTATCAGCCGCTTGCTGATTACACCAAAACCTGTGCGTAATGTAGCGAGCGTCAGTGTAAGTGCTCGACGCCTTCCCGGCAGCCGCGAGCGCCTACAGCAGTCGAGCTGGAGGAATGTGATTCCTAGCACTTCCCTCGCTCCTTCCGCCTGCTTCCGATTGTCCTAGTATGTTTTTGCGGTCGTTTGCTCCTTACCCTGCTATCCATCATATGTTTGGTTCCAGGGCCTTTGGTCATTTGAGCTACGCACTCACCCGCGGTGACAGCAAAAGCTTACGAAAATCTTCCATATCACACTCCCCCTGCTCCTCAGATTTCGCTTCCATCATCCCCGTCTTAGGGTATGACGTCTGACCCAGCCCTTTGTTCCACTGCGTGCTCCTCCACATCCCTGATCAGGGCAATTCGTCTGGGAATCGTGTCCGAATGAGCTAGTGGAGTGGGGTTATTTTTCTGTCGCGGCCGCAGGCGAGCGCGCCAGCAGCGTCAGAGGTCGGGCGGGCGACGCGCGAGCCTAATTGCCTAGCGCACGGGGACCGACGGCCGAACCAAAGCTGCCTAAGCTGCCTAAGCTGCCGGCCTGCGCCAGGTGGTGCCAGGAAGCGGGGCACGGCCCGAAACCTTGTCGATTGGAGTGGGGTTACTTTTTCTCGGTCGCGTCCACTAGCGAAAGCGCAGGCGGAGTCAGAAGCGTTCCGGGACACGGTAACGGCCGAATTAGCTACTGAACGCGCCGCAGGCCGGCCGGCCCACTCACCAAGCAGCAGCGGGGCTGCGCGGGAAAACTGATGGGCTGAGGGCATCCAGGGAAGCTCAAGCACGTGCAGCCTAGCAAAATGCCAGGAAATTCGGTGTATGCCGTGAGGCATAACCCACTCAGACAGCGCGCGGACGTGTGCGCAGATGCCTACGTGTCCCACGTGCCTGGTAGGCGCTCAGGCGAGGTGAACGATGGACGAGTCGCCAGTGGGGCGCCAGGCCCAGGGCCGTCCCAACGGCGTATGCAAGCTAGGAGGGCTGAGCTGCCGAGGTAACGTCGCAAACCTGCCTGGTGGATGGGATGGATCCAGGGGAGCTGCCGCGACTGCGAAAGGCTGAACCACTCCGAAGTGTCCACGGGGTTCCAAGGTCCACCATCCCGTGGCCGAAGTGGGGTTACGCGAAGCGTCGAGAATGTTGCCTCCCGCAGCGCTTTCGTCACCCAGAGGGCTCTTGGCCAGGACCGATGCTGCATTGTGAGAAAATCCTCCTCCTCCTCCTCCTCGGTCGGTCGGTCGGTCGGGAATAGGGCTTCAGTGTCAAAGACGCAGCCCATGCCAAGGAAAAGGAGCAGTGCACAGTGCATGGGGTCAATGCGACGACGGACATAATACGACGACCAGAAATTAGGGGTGAGTGCTTATCCTCTCGGTGCCAACCCATTGAATCCCGCAAAGTCCGCCCCTAACTCTGGGTCCAAATAAGGGTCAAGTGGCACATAGAATTGACAATACTCTTTCTGCTCCCCTGCCTGCCTCTCTCTCACACTCGTGCTACTATTCAATTCAGCAAAAAAAGGAGGCGGCTAGAATTCTGCACATCCTCTCAGGATATGTCTTCGCCTTGGACGTCCTCCACCTACCCTCGGTTGTTCTTCCCTCCACGTCCTCCTTATCCTCCTCCTCCTCCTCCTATTCCTCTTCCTCCTCCTCCCTCGTCCTCCTCCTCCTCCTCCTCTTCCTCCTCCTCCTCCTTCCTCCTCCTCCTCCTCATCCACCATTCCTCTTCCATATAAATTCACCGGCCCAACGGGCCAAGGGCGTGCTACGATCTCCGGTAACTGGTTGACAAATTTTCTAATTCGCGCGCGCAGGGCGGCCCCGGGGGGTCTCCGGACGGGAAATACCCCGGCATGTGCAAGGTCCTGGCAAGGTCCCGGCCAGGCCCCGGCCAGGTCCCAGCAGGCTCCCAAGAGCGCTCCAGGAGCGCTTCAAGTTGCCCCCAAGAGAGCTCAAAATGGTCCGCGACGGTCCAAGACCGATCCAAAACGCCAAAGATGGCCTCCAGACAGCCCAAAGCGCCTTCAAGATGCCCCAAGAAGGCTCCAAAAGACTTCTCAGGAGGGCCCACAGAGGCAGAAATGCGTGACTTGTCCTTCAGTTTTTGAAGGTTTTTGGCGTTCTCGCCTTTTCGGCTTCCCGAGGCTGTCAGACGGCCCAACTTCCAGGATCGCCCCAACACGGCCCAAGCGGCCTCCACGAGCGCCCAAAACAGCCCCAGAGGACCCCAAGACAGCCCCAGAGGCCTCCAAGATGCCCGAAGAGGCTCCCAAGACAGCTCCAAGAGCGGGCCCAGATGGGGGACCCGAGCGGACATTTCGAGCTCTAGGCGCAGAGAG